GTCCTGTTCCCCCCCGCGGCAGGCAGCCCCTGCCTGGGAAAACCAGCCACAGCACCCGCTCCCCAGGAGCGCCCCAGCTCGGCCCTGGGCATTTAACTCCGCAGAGGAAGGAGAGATGCGGCCTCCTGCCCCATCCTCTCCTGTGCCAGGGCGTGCAGCCCGCACGCTGGCCAAGAGGAAAATCTTATCGGCGACAGCTCTCTGCCTGGATACTAGCCAAAATCAAGTCAGTGTTTTCCATGGAGGGAGCTGGCTGCCAAGAGATGTCCTCGAGGTGAAAGGCTCCCTGTCTCATCACCACTCGCAAATCTCACCCTGGGGACTCTTTGGATGAATGCTGGCTGCAGTGAAATCGCCCCTATTTTAATAGGCAAAGAGAGCTGGAGAGGATAAGAGGACGCTCAGCAATAAAAGCTTGAAGAAAAGACTGCAGTGAGCTAAGGCCAGGGTCCACGCTTGTCCATGGCCTCAGCATCCCTCAACGCAGCTGCAGCTCAGCACAGGGCAGGCAGCAGGGAAAGGAAAAACCGCTCGCCGTGCCAGTCCCAGCAAAGCGCCCCCTGCGCCAGCCTGCCCAGCCTTCACGGCAAACCCGGCAGGACTCACCTCTCCCGGGACATGCTCTTAACCTCACAAGCTCGGCATTTCAGGGGATGCCTCAGACACTTATTTTTACCACTTGTCCACTGCAGCCCCTGCCTTCGAGATGCTGTTTACGCCAGCCGCTCGGGCGGCGCGCAGGGACTGCCCAGGGACAGGAGGTGACTCTGCTCTTGCTGAACAGAAATGCCAGCAAAAACCTCTGTTCCTGGGGGCGGCTGCTCATCGCCGCGCTGTTCCTGGGACTGGGGGGGCCAGAATACCCCGGCGTTTGCTATGCATTTCTCCCCGGGACCGGAGCACGTGGGCATCTCAGATCCAGCTTTTGTTGATACTAGAGCACCAAGAGGCGCCGAGCCTGAGGAGCGGGCAGGCACAACAGGAAGCTGAACAAGAGTGAAATTTGGGTCAGGCAGATGCAGAGAGAGAAACAAAGATGAAAGGAAGCAGGAATCAATCCCCAGAAATGAAAGCTGCTGCTCTAATGCGGAGATTAGCACCTGCTGCTCCTCGCCACCAGCCCGCCCCGCTGCTCTCCAGCATGCTCCACGGACGCTGACTGCCCACAGCACCCCGGCGAGGGGGAGCATGTCCTCACTGCAGAAGGGGAGAAACGTACAGCACGTGTTTGACTTGACCTTCCCAAAGCCAAATTATAAACTTGGACCAAAGCCAGAAATACTAGAGCCTTTAGCCATTCAACAAAGCTGCCTCTTAAAGTCCATCAGGGACATTTAGGTGCCAGGGACATCGAAACTCTTCCCCCCGCCCAGCCCAGCCACAGCCTGTAAGAAAAATAAGCAACACAAGGCACTTCTCCCACAGGAGCCCTCAGCCCAGGCACGTCCTCCATTGGAAACCAAGCCCAACGCTGCGCCCATCGACGTGACGTGCTGACAGCCATGAGCACCAGGCCCTGCGGCCGGTAACGTGCGCCAGGCTCGCTCACGCGCCGCGGCGCTCGCCGCAGCCGTTCCAGCTGCCAAGCCTCGCTAATAACACCGTCCCTGGAAAGTCATTAAGCACATGGAAAAAATCTTCTGTGATAAAAATATTAGGCCCTGCGGCCTCAAACGGAGACAAATCAGAGCAGACACGGCAGAGACGCACCAAGCGCCAGCTGGCTCCAATCCTCCCAGTTGTAGAAGCTCCCACCTCACGGGATGCCGGTGAGCAGCACAGGCCGTGGACACCTCACCGCGTCTTGGTGCCCATCCTGCAACTGCAAGGACACTAGGACGTTCAAACGAAAGAGAAGAGAACAGACTCTAAACCAAGGGCTCCATAATCGTGGCAGGCATGAGAGCTGTTTTGGACTGGTACAGATCTCAGCAAAAAGCTACCCCTGCTCTCAGTGGCAGCTCCTACTAAAAGCAGCTTGCCAAGGCTGTTCACAGGGCATGATCATAGGTCTCTCTGCACCCAGCCATGATTTATTTGTGACTCTCCTTGGCACAGCGTACCATTGCTTAAGCTTTGGACGTTAAGCTAACTAACCCTTAACTATTAGAAGGAAATGTCCTCTAAGGTTAGGCAGCCCATGTAACTGTTACCATCTGGTATCTCACACCTGCCCTCAAAGCAGCCAGCTACTAGCTGTGATCAGATGGAGAGGAGTAACAGCCCAGGTGGAAATTTTTCCATTTAAGAAAATCACAGAATCACAGAATCGTTTAGGTTGGAAGGGACCTCTGGAGATCATCTAGTCCAACCTCCCTGCTCAAGCAGGCTCCTCTAGAGCATATTGCCCAGGATCACATCCAGACGGCTTTTGAATATCTCCAGCGAAGGAGACTCCACCACCTCTCCGGGCAACCTGTTCCAGTGCTCTGTCACCCTCACAGTGAAGAAGTTTTTTCTCAGGTTCAGATGGAACTTGCTGTGGTTCAGTTTCTGCCCGTCGCCTCTTGTTCTGTTGCTGGGCACCACGGAGAAGAGGCTGGCCTCATCCTCTTGACACTCCCCCTTCAGATACTTGTACACGTTGATGAGATCCCCTCTCAATCTTCTCTTCTCCAGACTGAACAAGCCCAGCTCTTGCAGTCTTTCTTCAGAGGAGAGGTGCTCCAGCCCTCTAATCATCTTGGTAGCCCTCCGCTGGACTCTCTCCAGGAGTGCCATGTCTCTCTTGGACTGGGGAGCCCAGAACTGGACACAGTACTCCAGGGGAGGCCTCCCCAGGGCTGAGGAGAGGGGCAGGATCACCTCCCTCGTCCTGCTGGCAACACTCTGCCTAATGCACCCCAGGAGACCATTGGCCTTCTTGGCCACAAGGGCACACTGCTGCCTCATGCTTCACTTGCTGTCCACCAGCATTCCCAGGTCCTTCTCTGCAGAGCTGCTTTCCAGCAGGTCACCCCCCAGCCTGTCCTGCTGCATGCCGTTCTTCCTCCCTAGGGGCAGGACCCTGCACTTGCCTTTGTTCAATTTCACGAGGTTCCTCTCCGCCCACCTCTCCAGCCTGTCCAGGTCCCTCTGAATGGCAGCACAGTCTTCTGGTGTGTTAGCCTCTCCCCCCAGTTTAGTATCCTCAGCAAACTTGCTGAGGGTGCACTCTGTCCCTTCCTCCAGGTCATTGATGAATATATTGAACAAGACTGGACCCAGGACTGACCCCTGGGGGACACCACTAGCCACAGGCCTCCAACTTGACTCTGCGCCATTCACCACAACC